CAACAACAACAACAACAATGGAGTCCTTGGTGCTCTCTGAGCTTGGTTATTTGCTTGCAGACATTTCATTACCCGACTAAATAACATCATCATTGCTAGTGAGTGTGGGTTAGTGAGTGTCAACAACAGACAAACAATCAAGCAGAAAACAATACCCTAATGAAGGAACTACCAAGGAGAAAACCACACACCCACCAATACTGGCAGGGCAAGCTACAGGGAGCAAACCCCATCCTCCCTAGCACTGATGATGTTACCTGGTTGGGTAATGAAACGTCTGCAAGAAAACAGCCAAGCTAAGAGAACACCAAGGATCTCACAGTTCAACCCTGAGCTACAGAGATTTTCTTCTATTGGAAGGTAGGTAGATATATTGATAGCACTGAGCAATAGGCTGGAAGAGATTGGATTGTAAAGAAAAAAAGGAAATCTGTTATTCACTGACATAACAAAACAAAATAATTATATTTCCAACATTATAAAAGTCTGGTTCAAAAAAATTAGATGTTATTCTGTTCCACACAGAATGTTATAATATTGGTGATGATTTCACTTTGGCCTATTATCTGGGTGTCTCAGCTGGTTGGACTGATCTTTGCCTGGATTCAGAAACTAAGTAGAGTCAGGCCTGCTTAGCATTTGGATGGGAGATAGCAGGCAATTCTAGGGCTGTGGCCAGATGGAGAAGTCAACAAAACAGCTCTCCTAGCTAAGCTTTATATGGGACAATAATTATAACTATTGAATTAATAATTATAGGATATTTCTTGGCCAGTATTTAATAGAAGCTGGCTGAAGAATCCATCTACAGAGGACTGTACAACATATGATTGAGGTTTATATGGATGAAATGTGCACTTGATGCTCAATTAAAGGAAAAAAGAAAGATACAGAGAGATACTTTTATGGCTGACTATCAAGTTCCATAAAACTTTGTCTATCTTGAGTGATAGAAGTCATTTTTACATTTTTACTCACTGCAGAATTATAACTTCTGAAATCCATGTTCTTCTTCTTCTTTAAAAAAAAACAAAAAAACCACAGTCCGTTCTGTGGCACAAACAGTTGGGGACAACCAGTCCATCCAACAGTTCGAGGCCTGAACATGTTTCTTCGCTTCCCAGCCAGCATCATTACATTTCTGCATTTTCTGCAATCCATTATGGAAACCCTTTGTGGTTTCGGGTCTCCAGGTCCCATACTTGATGACTTCAGAACAAGTAGATGGAATTAGATTAGAGAGCTCAAAGCCAATTTTCAAGGATGGAAAAAGTGTGTCCGTGGGCTGGTGTGATTTAGAATTAAGATTTCATGCTGTTCCCAGTAATATACTCTGCGAAGAGAATGTAACAATTACTATTAACGAGGACAAAACAACAACGTGCTGTTGTTTTGTCCTTGTTAATAACATCCTAACGTTTTAACACAACGGCCCAGATTTTTCTCTTTAGATATCTCTGTGTCCTCTTTGATTTGACAATTATCAGTGAAATCCCTTTATTGATCCTTTAATTGCTATTGATATTTGGATCTTGCTTCCCCCCCCCCCCCCCCCCCC